TTTAAGGGTGGAGTCAAATTTTATCTTGATATCTTGTTTTGCTTTGGACCGAGATGCCTTCTTTTGTATCTGAACAAGTTGTCTTTTTGAATGTAAGTCCTCTTTTTGACTAAGTGTTCAATGCTTGTCTCTGTCTTTACTGTCTTGTATGATTCCATACTTAGAATATTTTTGTACTTCTTCTAAGTATACTTTAACTGTGTAATCACTTCGGGTTAGAACACATCTGACATGTACCACCTCGGATCCACTTCATCTCGGGTACACCCTCAGTTGGCCACCTCGGACCAACTTACCTCGAAGTTCACCTTTTACTGTGATCTCGGCCAATGGGCATTTTATAAAAAATTCTTTAAACAACATTCAACAAGTATTGTTTCCTTATTTGTACTTACTGTCTTCCAATATTTCCAGGTTTGACGAACTGGTTGGTGATCTCGGGTAACCAACAACTCGAGTGTCCCCTTATCTGGATACCTCGGCTGACTCCAACTTGTAAAAAATTTTAACAAGTGTTAAGCCTATTCCCCCTAATGTGAACCCAAGTGTCACTTATGTTCACGTTAAGCACGCATCTTCAATTTCGCTGAAGTCTGATACAAACAAAGACTAGCCGAGGTATTCAACCTTGGTTTCTCTAAAGCAAACTTAGTTCCATTCTGAGTTTAACTCTACCAACATGGCAAGCCTAGGTGAATTCAACTTAGTTCAACTCTATTATATGCAAGTATAATTCTTAAATCTAAGTTTCTTGTCATGTTTCATTCAGAAATATCGCCAACTTAGTTCAACTCTATTATATGCAAGTATAATTCAACTCTGTCATATATAAGTTTAAGTTACTCGTCATGTTTTATTCAGAAACATTGCCAACTTAGTTCAACTCTATTATATGCAAGTATAATTCAACTCTGCATATAATAAGTCTAAGTTACTCATCATGTTTCATTCAAAAACATCACCAACTTAGTTCAACTCTATTATATGCAAGTATAATTCAACTCTGCCATATAAGAAGTCTAAGTTACTCGTCATGTTTCATTCAGAAACATCGCCAACTTAATTTAACTCTATCATATGCAAGTATAAATTCAACTCTGCTATATAATAAGTCTAAGTTTCTCATCATGTTTCACTCAGAAACATCGCCAACTTAGTTCAACTCTATTATATGCAAGTATAATTCAACTCTGTCATATAATAAGTCTAAGTTACTCATCATGTTTCATTCAAAAACATCGCCAACTTAGTTCAACTCTATCATATGCAAGTATAATTCGACTCTGCCACATAATAAGTCTAAGTTACAGTCTAAGTTACTCATTAGAAACATCGCCAACTTAGTTCAACTCTATTATATACAAGTATAATTCAACTCTGCCATATAATAAGTCTAAGTTATTTGTCACGACCCAAACCCGGACTAATCGGTTTCGGATTCGGCCGTCGGTAAGGCCTTCAATTAGCAGTTTAAACATATAAACATGAACAGATAATCAGACAATTAAACAGATAGAATGCAATTAACTAACATATACTCAGTCAATTCAGTTTCAATTTCAGTCAGTTATCAGTTCCATTTTGCAGTAATCAATGATTAACGGTAATCATTCAGTCATTAATCAATAAACAGTATGAGGGTTGTTACATTATTCGTCATGCTTCATTCAGAAATATCGCCAACTTAGTTCAACTCTATTATATGCAAGTATAATTCTACTCTACCATATAATAAGTCTAAGTTATTCATCATGTTTTCATTCAAAAACATCACCAACTTAGTTCAACTCTATCATATGCAAGTATAATTCTACTTTGCCATATAACAAATATAAGTTTCTCGTCATGTTTCTTTCAGAAATATCGCCAACTTAGTTCAACTCTATTATATGCAAGTATAATTCAACTCTGCCATATAATAAGTCTAAGTTTCTCGTCATGTTTCATTCAGAAACATCGCTAACTTAGTTCAACTCTGTTATATGCAAGTATAATTCAACTCTGTCATATAATAAGTCTAAGTTTCTCGTCATGTTTCATTCAAAAATCGTCAACTTAGTTTAACTCTATTATATGCAAGTATAATTCAACTCTGCCATATACTAATTCTAAGTTACTCGTCATATTTCATTCAGAAATATCGTTAACTTAGTTCAACTCTATTATATGCAAGTATAATTCAACTCTGCCATATAAGAAGTCTAAGTTACCTGTTATGTTTCATTCAGAAACATCGCCAACTTAGTTCAACTCTATCATATGCAAGTATAATTCAACTCTGCCATATAATAAGTCTAAGTTTCTCGTCATGTTTCATTCAGAAACATCGCCAACTTAGTTCAACTCTATTATATGCAAGTATAATTCAACTCTGTCATATAATAAGTCTAAGATACTCGTCATGTTTCATTCAGAAACATCGCCAACTTAGTTCAACTCCATTATATGCAAGTATAATTCAACTCTGCCATATAATAAGTCTAAGTTTCTTGTCATGTTTCCTTCAAAAACGTCGCCAACTTAGTTCAACTCTATTATATTCAAGTATAATTCAACTCTGTCATATAATAAGTCTAAGTTATTCGTCATGTTTCATTCAGAAACATCGCCAACTTAGTTCAACTCTATTATATGCAAGTATAATTCAACTCTGTCATATAATAAGTTTAAGTTACTCGTCATGTTTCATTTAGAAATATCGCCAACTTAGTTCAACTCTATTATATGCAAGTATAAATAGTGAGTTGTTCTTGATAAAGTTTTTTTTGAGGTAATATTTTATATCAGATTAATCATAAAATATATATTTATCAGAGTGCGTAGCGGATAGCTTACACATATGACAAATTTTAAGGACGAAATTTTTAAAAGGAAGGAAGATTGTAATAACTCAAAAATTTAAGTTATCCCTTAAATTTTATATTATTATTCAATATTATTTTCTAAGTATTATGATATTTTTATTATATTTTTTTCTCTATATTTTTCTTAGACCAAAATACACTGAAATATAACATTTTTGGTACAACTACAATGCGTGGCCCTCAAGTCGCTTGCTAGCCACGCTTTCTTGACTCTATATATATACTATCTATCATCAACAGCCTCGTTACCAATCTCAAACTCTCTAAGTCTCTCTCTCTCGGCTCTCTAAGTGTTTGTTTTTATATATAAAAGTTTGAGTTTAGCTTGAAATATTTAGTAGGTCATAGTGAGTGAAAGATAAAAGTTGAAATTAATATTAAGGTGAGTTATATTATATTTTGAGTCATCATAACATGTTTTATATATGTTTTGAGTTACCATAATTTATTTTACGCAAATTGTGCTTTATAAATTATTTTAGCATTTTTAATTATATTATTTATTTTATGAACCTTATTTTATATACTAAGGAAAGCCCATGGATATAGTTGTTTATTAAAATATGTTTTGAGTAATTATTTTATAAGTACCACCACGAAGGTCTCATGTCTTGGGGGACTTAAATAACCATTGGCCCTTTGATTAGTTATTTTGTGACCCTCTGTTTGTCATGGATCCACTGACATTCTGATTTCTGGTGTGGAGCAAAGTGTTGTACGGAGCTAACTGCTACACTATTAGAGTTCGTGCGAGCCATCTCTTGAGTTTATACATCTGTTCTATTTTGTACCGTGATTATGATTTATGGTGTAGAGCAAAGTGTTGTACGGAGCTAAGTGTTACACTATGGTGGGAGCCACCTTTAGAGTTTCGTACGAGCCACCCCTTGAGTCCATACATCTATTATGTTCCATTCTGTATCGTGGTTATAATTATTTTGTTTGTATGATTTCTATATTGTATGTCTAATGATCTGTGTATTATATACTTTGTATTTCAATATCAAATTTTGTTTAACCAATAATTATCCATGGTGAATTTTATACCATTATGCTCTCAGTATAATATTTCTTACTCTGCTATGTGCTTATAGCTGTTTACCAATTTTCAAGAAACAATGCAATTCAGAAATAGCTTTTGGAGAGTCTTAGACACGAAGTTGCAGAATAGACACACACAGCACTTTTATAGTATTTATAATTATATTCTTCATATATAAATATCGGCCTTTTTGATCAATAAATTTTGTTATAAAAATAAAAACTCCAATGATTATTTTGGTACCCTTACTTAAATATTTTTTACCGCTCGCGTTTAGTAATTTGTTTAAAAATTGACCGGAGGTAACTTCAATTACTAACCATCACGATACTTAACCCTTGGGTACGGGGAACGGGTCGTGACAATTAGTGTGACTCATAATTATCAAATGTCACTATTGTTCTGTGTTTTTATTTATAAATAATTTTTTTAAGTTAAATTTATTTTTATTTTTTTTATCAAGAAAAAAGGATACTCTGAGGTGTCATCACATCATCCGTGGGCCCAGGAACTCAGGATTCTATTGAAATACAAAGTAAGGTCTCCGCAGAGAACTACTAAAATTACTCAACATTTCGTTCCCCTAAAAATCGAACCTGAGTCATACTTGTAAAGAATGATATCTTCTCCATTAAGCCACCACTTGTTGGTTTTTTAATGTTAAATTAGATAGTTGCATTTGTACCCCAAAAGCAAAAAAATGAGAGAGTTGCATATATCCTTTGCAACAGTGAGTCCGCAACTTCAAAAACAACCATATCTATACCACTGAGGGACTCGTACTTGGAATTTGATTGGATTGGTGTGCTTAACGACTCATGTCCCATTATATAAACAAATTTCAGCCATAAACATGAATAATAAAAAAAAAGTCAATGCTATACTTTTTAATTAGGTTTGTGTGCATGTTATTTCTTTAACTTTCTAATTTAGCCCTCAAACAAAATTCACAAATGGATCTGTCCAACCATATGCTATTAACAGCTTCATGAGTTAAAAAAATTCAATGTTTTATTTTCACTTGTGCTTGATTCTTGTACTGAGACAACTAGATTGTTGTGGTAAAAAATAGTTGAACTAACAAAATTACTTAGAAAAGTTTGATCCCACAGAATGAATTTGATTCAAAATTAAGTCCCAATAATAGATACTGTCTGGAGGTAAACATTTTAAAAATTTATAGAAATGTAGCATTGTTGGACCCAAAAAACAAAAAAGGTTTTTTCTCATCATTTGAGGCCTTCCCCTGCTTCTATCTTCTATCTCAAGCAAACACTCTTTGTTTTCATATATCAATAGGTCTCACCTTCATTTTCTTCTGTCTTCAACTGCTGAAGTAAAAGTTCATTCCATGTATCAATGGGTCCTGGCAAGCACCAATGGAGACAATCATAAAACTGCCTTTTATTCCCTACAGGTGGGTGCCAATAATGGTTCGGATGACCATCTGGTCTCATACTCATGGCTTCAGTCACATCCAACAACCTGAACTTCAATCCCCTTTCCCTCCCTTTCCTCTTTGCAACCCGAAACTCATCCATCTGCATCATGTGAAACGTCGAAATATACCAATCATACTTCATTTCTCTCTTTTCAAACGGCCTCGTCCTTATACAATTCCCTCTTCCTTTCATCTCCTCAGCTGCAAAGTGCGTCGGTGATATAGTCCTCAGAAAAACTATCCCCTTAAAGGGACGAAGATTAATCAGAGTTCTAAATGCAGTTTCTAAAGCCACCCTGTATCCATAATACATGGTGAGGTCTTTTATGTTCTTTTCCTTGCACGAGCTACACCCGACAACCTTACCCTTTTCGTGGTACATTACTGGCTTAGCGAACCAATGTCCAATTGAGATGATCACGTAGTCGAAAGCTTCGACCTGAGTTGGCCAAACCTCATGTACCTCATCTAAGTAGAGGTCAATGGGCTTTGCCGGGTAAGGACTCACACCACGTGCCTTAACCAGAAAAGGAGTCCTTGAAAGTTGTAGTGTAAAATTGTAATCAGGGTAGAACCAGCGTCTAAATTTTATGTCCGTTGTATTTGATTGTTCTACAAAACTTGCAACCTAAAATACAAGATAATAGTAGTTATTGATAAGCAATTCTAATATTAAAAAAAGCAAAAACAAAACGTCAAAGGTTAGGTTTGAGACAAACTTCGGATTTGAGTGGGGGCAAAATTTTACCAAGAATCATATACGAAATTTATTACCATTTGATGAAGGAAAGTAATACATTAAAAGAACAGAGAGATAGAGTTTGAAAGGAGGGCAAACTAAACATTGAGAAAGTGATGGAAAAAATAAAAACCAATGATTAAAATTGGAGAGTAAAAAAAAATATACCAAAGGGAAAAGTTCAAAATGATTTCTGAAACATAGGTACATCAAGTAATTTCCAAATGAGAGCAATTTTGAAAGTTCTTTTAGAAACTATAAGTAAAATGGTAATTTTTCAAAAGCCAGTTGAGACACCCTTTATTAGCTCTGCCAAATGGAGTAGTTATTCAATACCCCCAATAAGGCATGGCCAAGTAGTGTCACAAGATAATTGTGATTGATGAATATTGTAAGATCTACCATTTTTTATGGGTGATTAAGGAAAAACACGAAGGGTGACATTTTATTATTGATTTGTGATATGATTAGGTCGTGTTTGGAAACTTGGTTCCCAAATTTTTTTCTCATTTTTTTCATTAAAAGACAAAAGTTTTGCAAAATCAAAAAAAACAAATCTAAACAAAATATCACATCCAACCCAATAATCATTTTATTTTTTCTCTCACAAACATCACATCCAACCACAAAAAAACCCAACTATCTTTCCAAACACTAAAATTTTTTTATCCAATAATATCTTACAACTAAAAAAACTACATAAAAACCCACTTCCCAAACACCCACTACGTGGTGTGGGAATTGATTTTTTTTCCCCCTATAGTTAGTTCTCTCCAATCTTGCCCACCCTAGCACTTTTCGATTAACTGGGGATCAATAGTAAATTCTCCCAAATGAATAAAGCAATGGGATTTTCTGTCCTCAAATTTCTATGACCCTCTAACCAACAAATTTTTTTAACGATCGAACAGTTATAAGTGTTTTGGAATGAGGAATAAAGAAATTTAATAACAGAAAATTCTTGGCTATGAATATACGCAACACGTTAATTTTTGTACTTACACTACTCAACATGCACCCTAGCGATTGCATTTGATTTCTTGCCAATGAGTCCCCAACAAAGGCCATGGACTTCCCTCTCACAATCTCCAAAAACCTAGCTGCATCAAACAGAGGCAGCTCACAATCTTCTGGTTTCCACCTCCACTTCATGAACTCTGTGTCTGGTCTTCCATACTTCATGCAATTTTGCGCATCTTGAATCACACATCTACTATTGTTTGTGTAATAAGCAGGCCCCTTGGGATATGGTACCCATTTCCCAATTGACATATCACATTTATCCCCTAATCTCAAGCTTATGGAGTCATTAACAGCACGGCACCGCAATGGTGGTGTCAGTGATTCATCGACATTAATATCACGCAATTTTAAGAATGGCAAATTGTCAAGATTATAGTCAAGAGAGATAAAGGTGACAAGAACTAGGGTTGGGATCAGTATTATTAGGATTGGCTTCAAGATTTTAGGCCAAGGAATTGAGTGTTGAGTTGTTGTACCCATTGGGAAACTTTAACGGGTTAACAACAATAAACTTTACATTAGAGTACATGTTCAGTATTAATAACACTTACTATTAGTGTAGTAATGTCCAAATATTGCAGTAACTCAGTATGCTAATTAATGTTATATATACATAAAAGAGTATTATAACCCCCTATTTAATTGTTATTATTTCACATTTGTTAGCTTCAGTTTTCAAATTTTAACATTATATTTTTATATCTTCATAAATATCTATTCCATGAGAGAGAGAGAGAGAGAGAGAGAAATTTCATTGAAAAAGAATCACTCTAGTTTTTAAGTACTACTTCTAGGTGCTTGCATGTTGACTGTCGACGGTTCTGTTTGTAATTTGGACTTACCCACGTGTCTACGATTTGAAAAAAATTAAACATGCATTTGCTTGCAGTGCGATTTGCAGTTTGTAGAGATAAAATTTAAGAATGTGCGGACGGTTGCAGCCAATTTGTAAATTGAGTTTTTACCTTATAAATTTTATTTTTGGACTTGTTTTTTCCCATTTTTTAAATATTATTGATTGCGAGAGATTTAACACTATCCTCCATTAAAACTGAATTATAAAAACTTAAAATAAAAATTAAATAAAAACTAACGTATAAAAAAAAATCACGTAACTAAATTTATAAAAAGTTGAAGAAATTTTAATTGAAGAATAAATATTTTAAACAAGACAGTGCATGATATTATTATAATGTTATAATATTATTATAATGACATGAAAAAAAGTGGTTGATTATTGGTGAAGAGTATTACAAAACTTACATGAAAATCTAACAGTCCAGATTAAAAAAAAAAAAAAATGTATACAGATGCGTGCAAGTGAATACAGATGTTGGTAAAACCAGCGACTGGTCTGCAACCCGCAAAATAAAAAAATCCTAACCCGCATCCGACCTTAATGATTCTGCGAAAACCACCCAAATAAATGTAGAGAGTTCGAATTGAGCGATTTTCACGAATTGAATAACCCTATCTCAGCCCTAACTACTTTTGTACCTAAATAAAACATAAATGGTATGTATGCAAAAACATGTTTAGAAAAGTAAATATAATCTGCTTTCTGTGGCGTATGTTTAAAATTGCTATGGTAAAGCCCACACTCAAAACAAATCTAGCCTACACAATTCTAATTTTGAACAATTTTTAATTTGCCATTGTGAGCACCAACTAATGATACAGTAAAAAATAGACAAACCTACCTTTGTTAGATGACAGATAAAAAATACACACCTAAAATATTTTTTACTTTGCAAAATATCACTCAAGCCATACCATATAATACTTTAAATTAATTTTTCCCAAAAAACCTTTCTTGATTTCTAAATCATAATATTATTGATTTCACCTAATGTGCAAATGAATTTCAAGATGCTCATGCAGAATAAAATTAGATTAACATTAGAGCAAATTTCCCTCTAAAAACAAAAACATTAGAGCAAATTCAACAGATGCTCACAACAAATTTTTCTTTCAAAAAAATATAAATCGAACCAATAAAATCACTGGAGAATGCATATCTTAATGGCAGAAAAGGAGGTTCCAATTGAAATAGTAGTAACTCAGAACGATAAAAACAATATCACTAGAAACAACCATTAGATGTTGGGAATAAGTTGAAGGAAAATGAAAACTTAGCAGAACCTACGCTTCTCCAAGCAGGACTGAACAATTCAAGTAAGGGGGCACTCTCCTTCAAACAACATTTTTCGCTTTTGCTTTCGCATCCATCCCTTGCAGAATGTTAAAATTTGATGGCCCAACAGTGTCAACGAACCCTCGTATTGATAGTTCTGGCACTGTAGTATTTTTCACCAGCAACTCGTGATCAATAAAGATGATGACCACTGTAATATCATCGTGAAAGAACCGTCTCACTCCCTTTTCAATCTTCTTAAGATCATTGTACCTCATCTCTCTTTTCCTAGCTGCTTCATTCAGAGCTGATTTAAGAAGCCTTCTTGCAATTCCCTAGTATTTGAAGGAGAATAATGAAAATTATATCAATGCCTAGTAAAAAGAAGGCTAAATTACACTGACCTCCCTTGAGATTTGGGGAATTATGCCAAAATTGTGAGGCTTGCCATATTTTCTCTAAATCTCAGGATATGTCTGTAATTTACCTGTGTAAAAATGATAAAGATGGTTATGTGAGCACAGAGACTAACTGGTCTAGGGTTATTGTAAACAATCTCTACAGCCTGTTGATTTGTCAAGTGTTCCCAAAGCCCGTCAGATGCAAATATTAGAAATCTGTCATTTGGTCGTAAAACTCTTGAATATATGGATGGTTCAGCGTCAGAACTGTGCCGACGGAGAAGGGTTCAGATAGGTGGAACCGCGGGAATGATGGATCAAGAGAGAACTCTGGCCTCTTCAAGTATGCATCTCCGATAGATCTAGAAACCTAATTGAAAATAAACCACACACAAAAACAGAAACACAACATTATGAGCAGGAAAACAACTGACACTTTTGCAAACAAATAAATTCTAATTAATTAACAAGTACAAGTGAATTATACCAACTTCTGCACAATCTTCTTAATCATCAACCACAAGGGAATAAAATTGTATCATTTCATAGGCCTTTCATGCCTTGTCGGCAGCTGGCTTCCATTTTTTCACATATCTCATCAAGGAATCCATCACATTGCAATCTAAAAGTTCCCAAGAAATAGTTTTGTAACAGGAGAAACTTGCTTCCAACTTTTAATCATTTCAATGGTACTCACTTTTAAATGATAATCAATTCAATTTCAAATAAGTAATCCATCAGCTAAGAAGCATGCATATGGACACGGACAAGGGTATGTACGGTGCATACATATGAGAGGTATTGATGTATACGTGGGTAATATATATATATATATATTTTACCTTGCTTTTTCTCTCTTTGTTCCCATATATTTTACTTTTGACTCCAAACAAGCTTTCTAAAATTATATATTAAAAAATATCTACGAAAGTGTCCTAAAGGCGTGCCAATGAAGTGTCCCCAACGTAACCTACAAAAAAATAATAATTAAAAAAATTACATGCCACGTGGCAAGTCAAACATGAGGACACATGTGTCCGACCGTCTCAGTGTCCCTGCCGTGGCGGACACGGCACCCATCTTGGAGTGTCGGTGCTTCTTAGTCCATCAGTCTGCTAAAGAACAACAAATTTTCTAAAAGGCCAAGAAATGCCAAAACCAAAACCAAAGAAGAGAGAGAGAGAGAGGGAGAGAGAGAGGGGAAAAAAAAGAAGCAGTGGCTCTAGTTAAGGCATGCAGGAGGATTGTTATAATGACAAAATGGTATTGAGATACCAATGCATTAAAGGTATTCACCTCCCCTATCTAATTAAACCAATTTCATAATCTTTCGGCCAATAAACGATACTTTACATTTAATGCAGAATAAATAATGAGAAGCACACAAGTTATACTCCAAAACAGAGCAACTCAAGGATTAACTAAGGTTTCAAATTGGTGAAGGCAACCAATCAAGGAAAAGTTCAGCGAATTCTACTCAGCATATGGAGTTCCTATTAAAAGGCCCTGATGAGTTTCCCACACTTTTATGGATACAACTTCATAAAATCCCAGAACTCACTACATTCTAAATTCCTAATAAGGTGTACAAGTGCATCAACTGTCAAGACCTTGTTTGAATTTAATTTTTTTCTATTTCACTACTAGGGATAGTTGAAGATTGTTTTAGAAACTACTTAAAACTGTTATTTTTTGTTCCTCAAGAAAAAGATGGGTGTACAATGTGTCAATGATCCACTTCTACGAAGCATGAGTACGTGTAGGAATACTGGTACTGATACGATATGGGTACGTCGATATGGCAAAATTCAAAAAACATAGAGTACATGTACGACTTGGTACGCTTGTAAAAAAATATTTATTTTTAATTTAGAACCCAAACCAAACCAAACCAAGCCTTAAGTCCCATCAAATGGGGTCGGCTACATGAATCCTTTTTCTCCACGCGGCCCTATCAAAGATCATTTCGTTAGTCAAATTAAGTAAATCCATATATCTATTTACAACGCTAACCAACATTAATCTAGGCCTATCCCGTCCCCTAACATTTCCATTTACCGTTACAGCATCGCATCTCTTCACTACTGCCTCTGTTGGTCTCCGTTGAATATGACCAAACCATTTCAATCGATTCTCTCTCAGCTTATCTTCTATCGGTGCTATTCTTACCAATTTCCGAATACACTACACTCATTCCTAATTCTGTTTTGTCTAGTCTTGCTACACATTCACTTTAGCATTCTCATCTCAGCCACACTCATTTTATCTACATGTTGTTTCTTGATTGCCTAACACTTCGTCCCATACAACATCGCTCGTCTAATAGCCGTTTTATAGAACTTACCTTTAAGTCTAGTGGGTATTCGTCTATCGCACAGCACCCCGGACACACTTCTCCATTTGCACCATCCCGCCTTAATCCTATGGGCCACATCCGCATCGATCTCCCCCGTCCTTGTGATAATCGACTCTAAATAACGAAAATGTTCACTCTTAAGCAGTTCTTGGTTCTCAATCTTCACTTCTCCTCTGCTTTCATTGTTACTGTTACCAAATTTACACTTCATGTACTCTGTCTTAGTTCTTCTTGTCCGGAATCCTTTAGATTTAAGAGTTTTTCTCCAAATCTCTAACTTTGTATTAACTCATTCTCTAGTATCATCTACTAGTACTATATCGTCTGCAAAAAGCATACACAATGGCATATCATCCTGGATATTTCTCGTCAACTCATCCATAACTAAAGCAAAAAGATAAGGACTTAAAGTAGATCCTTGGTGTAACCCTACAGTCATAGGAAATTCATTTGTCTCTCCAGCAGGCAATCTAATAGTGGTTACCAACTCTTTATACATGTCCTTAATCACATCAATGTAACCTTTTGTCATCCATTTCTTCGCTAACACCCACCATATTATATCCCGAGGCACTCTATCATATGCTTTCTCAAGGTCGATAAACACCATATGAATCTCTCTTTTCTTTTCTCTATACTTTTCTATTACTCTCCTCAAAAGATAGATCACTTAATGTCAAAAATAAAAATATAAATCAAAATTAAATGTCAATATATTAAATAACTTACAAACCATAGTTTAATTTTAAAATCATGCTAAGCATAAAACAAAAAATAAAAAAGAAATCTAGTGAAAAGAGTTTTATTTCTGTAATAGAAGAAAATATTGTTTCAACTGAGATACGGTACGGCTTGGGTATATACTAGGTACGTTTGGGTACACCAAAAATTAAGCAGAAAAATTTTGGATACGTATTTCATGTACCCAGTACGTATGCAAAAGTGCCATAAGAGGTACCATATGCCGGTACGTATCCAATACGGGTACGGTATATTTTTCGAAGTACCCATGCATCATAGATCCACTTAATTTTAGTGCTATCACAAAATAGGAAGGTAATCTTATGTTCCTTTCTTCTTCTTTTTTTTCTTTTGCCAGGTATGTAATCTTATGCTCTATCTATACTATACATGTCCTATAAATTCATTTTAGAATAATCTAAACAAAGTCAACTAATACAAATATAGTGAACCATCATAAACGCCTTTTTAATTTTAGGTGCCATAGATTATTCTCAACAACTCAGTGAACTAAGTTAAAAAATGCAAATTTCCCGTGCCTGTGCATTCTAGTGTTCCTCTCCCCATGGGAGTGAGGCAGAGTATGACTGTCAGTGCAGATGAAGCCTGTAAACAAAGCCCAATGGTGTGCATAAGGTTCAAAAGGATTAAATACTTGGGCATTCTATAATTTCCGTCTTTTTAAAAGGGAATCCTTAGATCAATGTAGACATAATTTGATAGGTATCACCATCCCACACTACAAATAATAAACATGCATTAAAACCCATTAAAAAAAAAAGTAAAGAAAAGTTAATATGGAAATGCACTCCTACAGTCAAATAACTACACAAACCTGAATGATCCCTTTGATACGCCACACCCCATTTTTCATAACAACAATATGCGAATCATCTGGATGCAAGGACCTAAGTTCTTGTCTAACCTCCTCCATACTGGCGTTGTGATCCTTAGTCAGCTGTTCAGAAACAATTTTATTTGATCTACCCACATAGCCTATTACAGCTCTCGAATCACCTAGATTGGCAACATATAATGTCCCTTTCCAGATGATTCCAACCAGACAACAAGACCCATTGGCTGCAATTAATGGTTTTATTCCACATGACCGGCGCACAAGAGTAAGAAATCCATCTTCAGTAGCAGAAAAAGCACTTTTAAGAATGTCTTCAGATATTGTTCCATTTTGTTGAGCAAGCCCTATTTAAAACAAACAAAACCAAAACAAATAAGACCCTATGTATAACTACACAAAACTACTAAAAGGCACACTATGCAGCAGTTTCAGTGAAGACCAAGAAACAAGAAACAAAAAGGAACAACAGCGTAATGTACTTGACAGGAAACATAAAGAATAGCTACTCCACCATGAGTTGAGAAGGAAAACAAATGTTCCTTCAGTTAAGTGTCTGAAAGAATTGAGCAACAATGAGACCAACATTAAGAATTTTGCTAGTTTGTACAATATTGGTATTAAAAATCAAATAGAATTGCGGGCACTCATCCAAAAAATTAAAAAGAACTAAGCATATGTGCAAGGGCGTTTTGGCAAAACTTTGTTTCATATTACCGTGAGAACTGCATTCTTTTAGTCTCAATTTTTTGAAGATCGCCAATTTCTTCAGCACATGATTTAAATAGCACAACCAACTAGGCTCTTAAATTACAAAATTACCAGTATCCGTTGACGAGAGCATGCGAAGATAAGAAACCAACTAGTAGAATTACGTAAAACTAAATATTTGGCTAAAAGCTCTAGACCTTGAGTTACGAACTGTCAGATCTTTCTACAGTTATGCCAAATCACACTAGCCAATGCACTGAGATACCATAATTTATCCAAGAAAATTTTCTTGAATTACGAATTGATGACCCAATTCAGAAACAAACAGTCAGAAGCTTGATCTCTTTTAATTTACACCAATGAAGTGACATTAATAATAACCAAAAGAAAGTAAAAGACATAAAATAAAATCCACAACAAGACAAACATACACCAAATCATCAAGAACACCATTAATTTCCTAGCATGTATATATAGTCAAACCAGTCACAAAGCAACATTTGTCAACATTAACACCAAATATAGTAAATAAAATCAAGAAACAATTCCACAAAAAAAAAAAAAAAAAAAAAAAAAAAAAAAAAAAAAAAAAAAAAAAAAAAAAAAAACCAAAAAAGCTTACTGATTAGATGAAGGAAGAGATGGTCACGGATAAAGCGGGAGGCTTCGGGACCACCATGCCCATCATAGACTCCAACAAACGTGGCGTCACGGCCAGTCTCAACCTGGCTGTGATCCTCAATAACCTCATTGGCCTGTACAACAGCGAACGAGAACTCTCCATATGAATGCTTCTCGAGGTCTCTGCACCAGAGAAGCGCGTCTTCACCACCGCCCGATTCATCATCATCACCACTACTATTATTACTATTATTATTATTATCCTTGTTCATACGGGCATATCGTCGAACAGGTCCCCAACATGTCGATGCCATCCTTACCAGCCCTGAGAACATCCCTCATTTCCCTCTCCAACAAAACCCTAGAAAGTTCAACACTACAAAAAAATAAAAATAAAAAAATAAAATAAATTCAAGAAAAAAACAAAATACTGACTTTAACAACACACAATTGACCAATGCAATGCAAATGGAAACAGTTGATTATGAACTCAGGACAAAATTTGATAAATGAGAGTGGAAACAGTTGATTTTTCTTCAAGAACTCAGACTTACCAAGAATTTATCAATGTTAGAGAGAGAGAGAGAGAGAGAGAGAGAAAGTTAGATTGTGAGTCCAAGAAACCAAACACAGAATTGATCGATTGAACTGTAGGATCAGTATCGGGACAGTTCAGAGCAAGAGAAAGAGAGAGAGAAAGTGAAGAATTGAGGCTGCGATTGATGGATTAAAGCGTAGAGAGAGAGTGAAGGAATCATTGAGAGAACGAAGAGTATATATATGTGACAGAGAATTACAGAGATATATATATATATATAGAGAGAACAGCATATAATTTGTATATTTCGGACTTGCACGAGTGACTGACTGATAGCATAGACAACACAGTGATATATATATATATATATACATAGAGAGAGAGAGAGAGAGAGAGAGAGAGGGGAAGGGAGGAGGGAGATGCACAGTGAAAGGGAAAGTTGACCAAGCGTGTGAACAAGCACAAGACTATAATGCCCCTATGGAATTGGGAAATTACGAAAATACTGCTTATCACGGTAATCACTGAGAAAATGGAATTGGGAAATTACGAAAATACTGCTTATCACGGTAATCACTGAGAAAAGGTCCCACCCATAAGCGCCATGTCATATATGGATAGTGGGAAAATTATTCAATACTCCCGGAGCACCACGTGTCCATACTCCAAACCAATCACTAATCAGTTAGTCCCATGTTGTCCCCCCATCTCCAACATAAATCGTGGGCCCTTGTGTCTCTCCACCAATCAAAACATTATGGAGCACCACGTGTCCATACTCCGGGAGTACTGAATAATCACCCTGGATAGCGATAGAAATTTGTTTTACTAGATTATCGGAAAATATTGGTAATTAATGGTTTAGTGTGTTTTTTTATTTTATTTTAATAAGAGGAGTATGTGATAAATTAGTATATTTTTTATTTTTTATAAAAAAAAATATGACATATGAGTTGAATTTAAAATGATGTGATAAAGAGATAATGTGACCCAAATAAAATGATTGTGATCCAAATAAAATAATACTATGTATCTTAGCACATGCCAAACAGTGCTTGAAAATATGATTAAATTAGTGTTAATTGGTGAAAAGTTCACATCAATGAAGTCATATGTTATTTAAGATTTAATATTTCTATATGATAAGGACACGCGTTGAAAAATTGTTAAAAAATTGACTGAAAAAATTATTAGCGACTAGCAAATGGTAACCAACGGTGTTTAGTGGTGGTGAGATAGACAGATAGATAAATCAATAAGTGATATTTGGACAAATAGTTAGCTATATAAGTGACATGTATACAAATATATAACATTTAAATAGATAGACAAATAAATAAGTTTTGAACATATATGCTTCCTTTCAAACAAATTAATGTTCTTTTAACCTAAAAAGATTTAACTTATTAGCTCAAAAATTTCAAAAATTGACATTTTGAGCTTATTAAACTAATGTGTATGAAAAAAAATATAAGTGACATGTATACAAATATATAACATTTAAATAGATAGACAAATAAATAAGTTTTGAACATATATGCTTCCTTTCAAACAAATTAATGTTCTTTTAACCTAAAAAGATTTAACTTATTAGCTCAAAAATTTCAAAAATTGACATTTTGAGCTTATCTATCTATCTATCTTCTATCTATACTATTATAAAGTGAACAGGAACTTTGGTGTCCTGAATCTTTACTCTCTTCATGCCAAAGAGATGGACAAGGCTTGAACCCATGACCATGGGTTTAAGTACGAGAACTCATACCACTTAAGTTAAGTACATATTATAATATTAATTTCATTATTATTATTTTTTATTCCTACTCATTTAAATTGCACACACATCGTGTGTGCCACCCACTAGTTAAGCTAATGTGTATGAAAAAAAGCCCTTTTTATAGTTATGGTAAATAATCAGAAAATTTTAGTACAATATTCGTTATATTCAGGAAATTTGAAAATATATATAATTATTGACGTATAGGAGATATTTAGTGAGATTTGTTTGTTTGAAATATTGTGATAAAATTCGGGATAAAAAAATAAAAGAATTTTATTACTCTGTATGCTTTCTTCCTTTCAATTTTATTAGTTTTTTTATAAGAAAAATTATCTAAACAAATAATAGTGGACTTGTAAATTAAGAAAGTGATTCCAAATTAATTATAGAAGCTACCTTCAACATGCATTTATTTGCTACGACATGAACCAAAAATAATATAAAGAAATTATTGAAGTAAAATAATTGTAAATCAAATTTTATATGATGTCATGATCAATGGTATTGGTATATGAGATAAATTAGATGAAATTTTATTCTAGGAACATATGACCAATGATAAAATTATTTGAAACTACATGTTAGTTGGCGTGATTCATTATTAAATAGATTACTTTTGTTCAAATTGTTCGACTTATATTCCTTATAATTGATTATATGGTTAATTCTGTATTGTACTTGGAGTAAATTACACTTTGCCCCCTCAGAGTTTTACCCATCTTTTAAATTTGATTTTTCTTACTTTGCCTTTTCATGTTTATAATCATTCCTACTTTGACCTTTTTAAGTTTAATTTTCTTACTTTGACCTTTCATGTTTAAAATTATTCCCTCTTTGGCTCTTCATATTTTCAATCCTTCTCACTTTACTCATAGACTAACTTCTATTAAAAAAACTAACAAAATATGCCACATTACCAACACATCAGCTCCATGTGTGATATAAAAAGTAGGGCGGGCGAGGGTCGGTTACGGCCACAAAACCTCCAATCCGTCATCCTTCCGCCAGATTGGTGGATTGGAGAAAATCAATCCGCATCTGTCCGTCAATCCGGCGAATGTGGATTGAGCGGATTGGCGGTTTGGCGGATGGATGCGAATCAGTTTGGCGGTTTAAGATTTTATAAATTTTCAACATAATTCAACTTGTGTACTTCCTCAAAAAAAAAGAAAGAAAGAAAATATTACAGTCAATGACTTAAAAAACTATTACAATCACTGTATGTCTCATCCAAAAAAAGAAAGTTTGAAACTTTTGAATATCACAATCACTACATGACTCATCCACATATTACAATCACAGCATGATTCATCCACATAAAGTATTACAATCTATGGTTCTTAAAATATAATAACAATTCAAACCACCAAAACAATGAACAGGGCAGTAGTAGAGATTGTATGTCTCTGTATTGTTACATCTATATACGTTTTTGAAAACAAAAACCAACCAGCATATATCATATTTTCTATTTATTATTTTTAGAATTAAATTTAAAAACCAAAAAATATAAATAAATAATATGTTTATTTTTTCAATTCAAAAACTATATTCAGGTTGAAAACTTTTTTTTAATAGAATATTTAAACTCTTTTTAATTGAAAACACAAACAAAATATTTAAACAAATTGAAAACATAAAGTCTTATAAATTATTAAGGGTGCTCGCGGTTTGGCGATTTGGTTACGGTCAAAGGAATCTCAAATCCGCCATCCGTCTGCCAAATTGGCGGATTGGAGAAAATCAATCTGTAACCGTCCGCTCGTCATCACGCATCCGTCCAAAATCCGCGCGGATCAGTTCGGTTCGGTCGATTTTGGCGGATCGGTATATCCGTTGCTCACCCCTAGTAAAAAGTTTACTAAAGTTGCAAAAAATAAAAAATAGAAAACAAAAAAGTTGAATTTTTTTTTTAGTCTTTAGTGATTTGTTTTTCAAATTTATTCATAAATATTATTACATTATAGGTACATTTAGATTAGATGCATCTAAAAAAAAAAAGTTTAAAAACAAATTAACTAGAAAAAGAAAAAAAGTTTATTAAAGAGGAAACAAATTGAAAATATACTGACTCAAATACTTGTATTGTCAATTCTAAAATAAAAAGTTTACTATCTTTTTTTTCATCTTTAGTTAACTTTTTTCCTCTTTTAGTTAAATTTGTTTTTATTTCTTTAGGTACATTTAAACTAGATGCATCTATAATGTAATAATATTTATGAATAAATTTGAAAAAAAAGTTCACTAAAGATTAAAAAAAAAAATTCTAATTTTTTTTGTTTTCTATTTTTTATTTTTTACATCTTTAGTGAATTTTTTACATCACACGTGGAGCTAATGTGTTGATGATGTGGCATATTTTGTTAGTTTTTTTTTTATGAAAGTCAATCTAGGAGTAAAATGGAAAGAATTGCAAACATAAAGAGTCCAAGTGAAAAAAATTAAACTTAACGGGTCAAAATGGAAAAGATTGCAAACATGAAGGACCAAAGTGAGAGAGATTACAAACGTGAAAGGCCAAAGTGAGAAAAATCAAACTTAAAAAGTCAATATAGAAAATAGGTAAAACTTTAGGGGGGCAAAGTATAATTTACCCATTATATTTGCTATATGAACTAGAAAACTTCAAAATGAAAAAAAGATATGTTTAAATTTCAGAGAAAAATGAAGGATCATGGAACAACGATGCATGTTTGAATCCAAAAAACAAATGAAGATTGGATTAAGGTATGAAATCATTATAAAAGAAAGAGTACTACTTCCAAATTTACAATAATGCCATGTTTTTTTTTTTTTTAAGGTTTTTTTTTTCATATTAAAAATCTTGGGCTCTTAACTTTTTTACTAGCTTTTAATTTTTTTAGTTTTGACTTTTGGTAATAAAGTAAGGCCAAGTTTGGCTAACCTAAAAAAGTGTACTTATTTTATCTTTTTATCTTTTTTGGGTCACATCAATTAACATCTTCTCTCTACTTTTTCTACACATAATACAAAAAAAATCAAAAAGTGCACTTATTTAGTCTTTCCAAACTTGGCCTAAATGTAGATAAAAACAAAACAAAAAAACGTACAAGAAACTATGTATTTTTTAAAAAAAGAATAAAAACAGCTTACTTTTTTTTTTTATAATAAATTGCTCTAGTTTGTTGAAATTGGTTTTTATACTCTAAAAAGAATTTGAAAACCAACAAATAAATAAAGAGCCAAAATTGAAATTCATGGGGGAAGAAATGTTCCCAAAGCAATACATTTCCATTACGTAAGGGCTGAATTTGATTAAAAAAATTAAGAACCAAATTAAGCTAAATTTCTCATTTAATACTGTGTGGGTGATTTTCTGACCACACTATCCGCCTAGTAATAAGTTGGAGAGCACTGGCAGAATAGATGGCTTCAGCAAACCTGTAACAGAAAGAAAAGGCTCCGACGGTGGCTCTTTCACCCGGGGGCACTCCGACGATTAAGTCAGTATATCTCTCAAAGATAATCAAGTGCTAAAC